TAGAAATAAAACAATAAATAAAATACTGCTCTTGCTCTCAAGCAGACTATTTTAAGACAGAATTGATGATTGTTGTGATGCGTACTGTGGAAATAAAATGCAGGGACTTCTAATCCAGGCTGTTGAAATGAAGGAAGAGAGAGTCAAGGAAAGATGCCCAGAGAAGTGATGGGTGTGAATTTTAATCCTGAAATGTCCTAGATTTGGAAAGAACTTCAATCCTCATTATCTGCATACAAAATGAAAGTCCAGATGGATTAAAAGCTAAACATTACAAAAAGTAAAAGTATTAAAAGAAAATATAGAATACTATTTTTTTATGATCTAAGATAAAGTCACAAAGCTAAGAAGTCATAAAGGAGAAGAATGATAACACCGACAACATAAAAATTAGAAATTTATCAATAGCATAAGAAGATACCATAAACAAAGTTAAAGGACAAGGAAAAAATATCTATATTATGCATGAGAGCCATGAACATCCAGATGTCTGTGCCCACTGGCCTAAAGTACCAGGAAATGCTCCTGTAGAAAAGAGTTGGGTTTATAGTTGCAACAAGGGAGACAGTACACCATGGTGAATCTGTGGGACATCTCAGTAAGAGGGGGTTAAGGGGATTGTTTAGTGATTTGGACTTGTGTTAGGTTTGGGAAGAGTCTGTCAGAAAGTGGGGCAATTCTATGATTGGATATCTTTTAAAAAAAAAAATTTAATTAGTTTCAAGTATACAGTACATCGGTTAGACATCTATATAGTTTGTAAAACGGTTCCCCCCGATTACTCCCTCCATCCCCGACCTTCCACCTAGCCAACATATTAATGCTAACTGCATTCCCTCTGCTGTGCTCCCCATCCCTGTGACCATCTATTAACTACTAATTTGTACTTCTTTAACACTTCACCCCATTCTCCCAGCCCCCCAAACTCCCCTCCCCTCTGTCCACCAAATTGTCCACTATATTTGCATGTCTGTTTTTGATTAGTTTGTTCTTTTCATTCCTTAGATTCCCCATATAAGTGAAATCATATAGTGTTTATCTTTCTCTGTCTGACTTAAATACCTTCTAGCCCATCAAAGCAATATCTTTTTCCATCCCTTTCCTTTTAGTCTGTGTGTGTCTTTTAATCTGAAATGAGTCTTTTATAGGCAATATGTAGGGGTCTTGTTTTCTTTTCTGTTCATCCACTCTATCTTTTAGTTGGAGCCCTTAATTCTTTTCCATTCGAGGTACTTATTGATAGGAATGTAGTTGTTACGATTCTTTATTCCTGTTTTTGATACATGTCTTTTCTTAAAGAAGTCCTTCGAACATTTCCTGTAATACTGGCTTGGTGGTGATTAATTCCTTTAGCTTATTTTTGTCTGGGAAGCTCTTTATCTGTCCTTCAACTCTAAATGATAGCTTTGCTGAATAAAGCATTCTTGGTTGTAGATCCTGGGTTTTCATCATGTCAAATATTTTGTGCCAAGCCCTTCAGTCCTGCATCGTTTCTTTTGAGAAATCAGCTGCTAGTCTTATGGGTACTCCCTTGTAGGCAACTAACTGCTTTTCTCTTGCTGCTTTTAAGATTCCCTCTTTGTATTTAACCTTTGGCATTTTAATAATAATGTGTCTTGGTGTGGGCCTCTTTGGGTTCCTGATTTTGAGGATTCTCTGAGCTTCCTGCGGTTTTATGTTTATTTCCTTTACCAGATTAAGGAAGTTTTCCATCATAATTTCTTCAAATAGCTCTCCAACATCTTGTTTTCCTTCAGGTATCCCTATGACACAGATATTTTTACCTTTAATAGTGTCCCATAGTCTCCTTAAATTATTATTATATAGTCTTGGCTTCTTTTTTCTTGCCATTCTGAGTGGCTTCTTTTTTCTTGCCATTCTGAGTGGCTTCTTTTTTCTTGCCATTCTGAGTGGCTTCTTTTTTCTTGCCATTCTGAGTGGCTTCTTTTTTCTTGCCATTCTGAGTGGCTTCTTTTTTCTTGCCATTCTGAGTGGCTTCTTTTTTCTTGCCATTCTGAGTGGCTTCTTTTTTCTTGCCATTCTGAGTGGCTTCTTTTTTCTTGCCATTCTGAGTGGCTTCTTTTTTCTTGCCATTCTGAGTGGCTTCTTTTTTCTTGCCATTCTGAGTGGCTTCTTTTTTCTTGCCATTCTGAGTGGCTTCTTTTTTCTTGCCATTCTGAGTGGCTTCTTTTTTCTTGCCATTCTGAGTGGCTTCTTTTTTCTTGCCATTCTGAGTGGCTTCTTTTTTCTTGCCATTCTGAGTGGCTTCTTTTTTCTTGCCATTCTGAGTGGCTTCTTTTTTCTTGCCATTCTGAGTGGCTTCTTTTTTCTTGCCATTCTGAGTGGCTTCTTTTTTCTTGCCATTCTGAGTGGCTTCTTTTTTCTTGCCATTCTGAGTGGCTTCTTTTTTCTTGCCATTCTGAGTGGCTTCTTTTTTCTTGCCATTCTGAGTGGCTTCTTTTTTCTTGCCATTCTGAGTGGCTTCTTTTTTCTTGCCATTCTGAGTGGCTTCTTTTTTCTTGCCATTCTGAGTGGGGGTTTCAGGGAATCCTCTGGGCAGAGCGACCTCTGTTATCCAGTCTGATGACCTCATGGCTATGGTGGCGCTGTGTCGGCACACTGGGAGGCCAGAGGGCTCAACAGGGAACAATGGATACCGCCGGCACTTCTGTACAGAGTTAATCTACCCCCAGCCCTCACTCCGACAATGTCTCCCTGTAAGTCCTGGTTCCCCTGTAGGCAGCCTAATCAGCACTATCTGTCACTGCGAAAATCCGCTCATGGACGCGGCCCCTTTAAGAGGCTTCTGCTGCTGCTGCAGCCTCCATCTCAGCCGACCGAGACCAAATCACCCCGCATCCTCGCCTCGTCCTACCTTCTGCTGTTGCAGGGTGCTTTCTTGGATTTCTCCCTAGTTGTCTGGCTTGTTCAAGATCCCAGGTGATTTTTCCTTGCTGCTTGCTCCTTGTTTCCGTCACAACTTTGATTTGGTCACCAGAAGGATGAACAGAGCTTCTATCATCTATGCCATTTTGGTTCTTCTCCTGATTTGATATCTTAATTACTACCTAGGAGGCAGAAGGAATCAAACGGAGAAAACTGCAATTGGTAAAACAGCAGCAGCAGTCCCTCATGTTAGCTGGGAGAGAGCTCAACAAAAAGAGCAAAGCAAAATTACCTGTTATAATTCTTGAATAAGAAACATCAAATATGTGGTTTTTATAAATGGAATTTAATGAGAAAGGGGGAAAAAAATCTACTCTTAGTATCCAGGCACTGATTTGACACAGTTATGCTATATGTTGCCCTCCTTTTGGATATAAACAATTTCACAAGAACATCCACTTCAGACAAGATCATGTACAACCCACAAAATGCCAAATATTGCCCTGTCACCTAAATAAACAACCACTACTTCTTTACCTATTACAGCTTTCTCTTTTCTCTAGTTTGCTCTCCCCATAGATAAAATTTTTTAGCTACCCAATCATAGAGTTGCTCCTGCTTTTTGATAATACCAAATCTGGAGCCTCAGCTTCCTTATACTCTCCCCAAATTTACCCACCCAAAGCCCAGAATAAGTTCTTTCTAACATCCTCTTACTGAGACACCCCTTAACTCCCTATGGTGTCTGTTCTCCCTTGGTACAATGAGCACTAGATATTTGTTTAACTGGAGGTATTCCTGTGGTCTTTGACTGAAGGGCATTGACAGTAGCATAAATATAAAAGTAACCAGTGGTAAATTTCAATATTTCTTGAGCCGACACAATACACAAAGCAATGTTTTAGGTTCTAGGGAGGATTTGTGCCAAAGAGTTTATAATCTATTGAGGCTGCAAAATAAGTATATTAATGAGGCACAAAATGCTTGGGTTTTAAGAAACAAAGTTTATATTATGCTGAAGAAAACAAGATAACTTCATGAACAGATATATTTTGAGATTTGTCTCAAAGTGGAGGAGGGTTTATGATTTCCACATGTGTAAGTGATGAGGATATTAAGAGCTAAGACAAAAGAATATGTACTGTACTATATTTGCTTTCTTAAACTATAACAACACTCTCTTAAAGCACTGTTTAAGTGCTCTACTAATATTAGCATTCTTTATTCT